CTCGTGGAGCTCCTCCTCTCTTGGCAGCTCCTCCTCAATCTCCTGCGTAGGTATGGGCCTGGGAGGCTCTCGCTCGACAAGGGGCTCGAACTCGACCTCGTTTCCGCGAGCGACTGGTTGGGCAACGCGAATGGGCGAGTCCGGCTCGGCCTCCTCCTCCTCTTCCTCCTCGGGAGCGGGACGGGGAGGCATGCCAGGGAGCGCGAATCCACCAGCGGGCGGTCGGCTGCCTGCAGGAGGAGGAGGGGGTGCCTCCTCCTCTTCTTCCTCGGCATCATTGTGAGCAGCATAAGCTGCGGCGCCTCCAGCTGCACCGGCAACGGCCGCAGCTCCCACAGCAATAGGAGCAGTACCCTTGAAACGATCGCGAAGGGCACCAACACCACCGCTGGGGGAGGCAGGTGCCTCACGCTCCTGCTCGCCAGTGTTCTCTTGGCTAATCTTACCACGGCTGTATTCGGCGGTCTGAACAGGAGCCCAGGACTTTCCGGAGTAGCCACTCTTCCACTCTCCGCTCTTCTGCACTCCGATGGGGGATGTGATAGGAGGCGACACAGGGTTCGAGATGGAGCCCGTCTTGCCCTTCTTCTCAGCCCACAGCTGGGCAGGCGTCTTGCCGCCTTGGTCAGCAAAGGTTCGGCTGGCAGCTCCAACGGGCGCAGCAGCCGGGACGGCAGGTGCGCCGAAGCCCATGCCTCCGGGCGTGGGAGCCTTCGTGCCAGTGAAGGTAGATCCACCAAACTTGTTGGCTACCTTTGGCTTGGGGAGAGACGTGAGGCGCTCCGACTGCGCGGACTGGCTGAAAGCAGCACTGCGTTCGGCCAGGGACCTCGGACGCTCTTCATCGGCGGCGGGCTCCGGCTCGGAGGGCTTCTGCGCCTTAGCACGGATAGCCGCAATATCAACCTTGCCAACCGGCTCGTAGGCACCCTTCACAGGAGTCGGCCTGTCGTCGTTCTTTTCCTTGGCGGCAGCACGAATGGCAGCGATGTCCACCTTTCCGATTGGCTGGTAACCCCCTCTTACAACGTCGCCTCGGTCTTCTTGAGAGTTGTTCCCATTGAAGCCGGAGGGTTCTTGGCGCTGCTTCGTGAGCTCTGCCATGTTCACCTTGGTGGGTTTGTATGCCGGCGCGACCTTCTCGAGCTGCGACCGGGTGACAGGGGGAGCGTCGGCGCCCCAGCCGTCTTCATCGACGTTCGCGGGCTTGCGGTTTCGTGCGGCCACGATCGGGTTGACAGATCCAACCGATGATGTGGTGGGAGTGAATACGGGCTTAGAAGCAACTGGCGGTGGGGCTGGGGAAGCCGTGGAGCCGCCGGCTGAGTACTTGGCGCCGGAGGCATCGGCAATCTTGCGCATAACGCTCTCCGGCTCGAGGTCGCTGTCTGAACGAGCGGTGATCTGGACGTGATAGCCGTGGAGGATCTTGGAAACGGCTGCTGTGTGGGTGGTGAAGTAGCCCTTGGTCCGCTCGGGGACACCGCCTCCACACCAAGCAATCAGGGCATTCTTGGGAAGCCCAGAATTAGGGTCCTTGACCTTTACGAAAGCGAATTGGATGCGACCCTCGTTGAAGTCTTCGATGAGTTCTGAGAGCTCGCCATCTGTCGCGGGGGAAAACGACGTGTCAGCGTGTGTCCTGCCATGTGACGTCGGCAGCTCGGGATGGGGGCCAGGAACCTACCTCCAGTGCCTTGGACCTTGAGCACGCTCTCCTTGGCACCAGTATCTTGGAAGGCATTAGCCAGAGGAGCTTGAACCGAGAACAAAGCCCATTGAGCGTATGTCGGCGAGCTCGAGCTCGGAGGCGGGCCGTTGATGACACCCTGGTAGCTGCTCTTGATCGAGGGTCCGTTTATGGACAGGTTGAGTGACGCCATTGCGAGTGTTTGCTTGGAGCTTGACCAGCAGTGGGCGCGGGTTGATGAGGCGTCGATTCCTTGGTGAGATTGGGGGGAAAAGAGGGCAAAGAAAGGAAAAGGCGGAAGATGGCAGGTTGCAAAGATCTCCGTCGGAGAGTCGCCTATGTCTTACGGGCAAGAAAGCTGACGTAGCAAACCAACCGCCTGTATTGCAGAGTCGTGGGCAGCCGAGAGTTGGAGAGGCGCAGCACGGGTGGAACTAGAACTTGGAGGTGAAGCACGGTCCCACCGACTTCCAATACGCGGGCAGGGAGTTACGCAGTCGTTTGGCTTGCCAGGTGTCGGAGCGGGGCAGGAACATACCTAAGAGCGGTTAGGTAGCTGGTAGGGCAGCTTAGGTACGAATACAGATAGAGGGGTACAGTGGGCTCAGGTACGAACACAGCAAGCGGGAGGGGCACAGAGAACAGCGCATTTCGACTCATCAGAGAATGGATGCGCCCAAACACACGCAGAAGGGGGCCGGATGCCTTACAGTGAGATCACTGTGTCCCACTTACCTCAGCGCCCAATGAGCTGTCTGCCGTTCTCGCTCTCCCCCTCGAGCCTCCCATTCCCCTTCGGCGGGGCGAACCCGGGAGTGGTTTCGCTGAGTCAGACCTTCCATTTATGCAACTAAGCACCACAAGCACACGCCATAGACTCGTTTTCCTGATACAAGCAATTTTGCGCTCGCATAAGCTCTTTTCTGTCGCCATCGATCACGAATTGCCCCTCCAAATACCCCTCCACCGTATCGGAGACCCTGGGTTTATCAGCCGTTGGCTCGTCATTTCGTGATCCGGCACCCGACCGAACCTGTCCGCATTCCGGAATCTCTTCCTTACTTGTACAACCTCACGCGACCCATCCCGCGACTCCCTCTTCCGATTGCGCCTCCCCCGATACCCCCGCGCATCCTCTCAGAGTCCTCACACCTACTACCGAAAAAAAGAGTTCGCGATCCACGAAGACGCACAATGTCGACGATCACGGAGATCACCAGTCTCGCCGACTGGGAGAAGCACATCGCCTCCACACCGCCGTCCACCCTCCACATCATCTCCTTCCACGCCCCGTGGGCCGCCCCCTGCGCGCAGATGGCCACCGTCCTCTCGACCCTCGCCTCAGAATACCCCGTCACCAGCCCCCCAGAGACCTCCTGGGTCTCCATAAACGCCGAGGAGCTCAGCGAGATTAGCGAGACCTACAATGTCACTGCAGTGCCCTTCCTCGTCCTCCTGCGCAACGGCCAGGTCCTCGAGACCGTCAGCGGCAGCAGCGCCGTCAAGGTGCGCAATGCGATCGAGACACACGCCAAGAAGTCCGCCGGCGCCGGCGCGGTCACGGTGAACGGAAACCAGGGCGTCGAGAACGGGCCCAGCGCGATGCAGGTCGACGAGCCCGTGGACCCGGCCAAGGCCAAGGAGGAACTGTTCAAGAGGCTGGCGGACCTCGTCAAGGCCGCGCCAGTCATGCTCTTCATGAAGGGCACACCTAGCTCGCCCCAGTGCGGCTTCTCCAGACAGCTTGTGGCCATCTTGAGAGAGCAATCCGTCAAGTACGGTTTCTTCAACATCCTGGCAGACGACGAGGTGCGGCAGGGGCTGAAGGAGTATGCGGACTGGCCAACCTACCCTCAGCTCTGGATCGACGGAGAGTTGGTTGGTGGTCTGGATATTGTAAGTGTAAATCAAGACCATCCGTTTCTACACGAACTGACGCCCTGCCACAGGTTAAGGAAGAAATCGCAAACAGCGATGACTTCTTGGGTCCTTACAGTATCAAGGGCAATGAGACTGCCGCTACTTCATAGACAGAATGTTGATGAGCAGACTATTGAAAAACGGTGTACCCCACGTACTAGCGGCTTTATCTGCGATTTCTAGTTACAGATATCCCCCCTCGTGAGCATGTTGGAGGTCACTCACCACCCACCGCCGATGTCCTCCATGCAATTCGCCAATCAATTACAATTCAGATCGCAATCTCCAAGTCCGCAGTGCGCGTTCACGGTGGCATCGGTGGGAAGAGTGGGCAAGGTGGAAAGGCGAGCAGTGACAATGGGGCCCAGAAGAACAACGCAGTCGAGTGGGCGATATTCATGATGACGCATCTGTCGTTATGTAGGCATGACTTACTCATGAATTTGATGAAACATTCTAGAAGCCATATTGGTAGGCCTCTGTAGTAGCTGATGTGATATTGTAATTTATAAACGCGGCAGGACTCACCATGGGCTTTTCTAGCTGGGCATTGTCAGTTAGCTTTCCGGGCAGTGTGCCCTATGACTTCCATCGTAGAAAGGCAGACAGACGTTCATCTCCAAGCTCGCCGCGCATGCAGTACCTTGGTTGTTATATATGGTCAGTCGTGCAGTCAAGGAAGCAGGGCCTGTTACCTAGCAATAGCAGGTACGAGGGACCGAAAGTCCAAGGTCGGATAGGCAGTAGCAATCAAATGGACATTCGTCCCAAAAAACCGCAGGTATTATCAGTAAGTCAACAGTTGAACCCCTTAATGTTCTTTCCGTGCGAGCTCAAGTCATCGAGTTGGGCGAACACCAGCAGGAATACGCCAATCTGGTCTGACAAGCATATCTAATGCCCCTTCCCTCCTTTGTAATACGTATTTGGTCAGAGGAACGGGGCCATGGTAGTTGTTTCTGCTTATCAAGAGACATCATTAGCGCATGCCGCCGCTGTCTTGTGACTGAACAGCAGGATCTCTTGTTCAGCCGGCAGATGTTGAGCAACCCCTGAGAGCTCTTTCTTCAACTTCCTGAGCCTGTCAAGGTTGTTTCTGAAGCGGCAAAGAAAGAGATGTCCTCGGCGATTGAGATCTTGCCAACTTGTCTCACTGTTGGTCTACTAATGGGCCCAGTGCCTACCATGTTGGGACAGCCTCCTTTCGGTGGGAAACTGCTCACGCCTCCTGAAGGGACGAGAATATACATCATGTCTCCCTGGAATCCATCCAACACCGGTGTTTAATATCACCATCCTCATCACTTCTGGTTCATAATATCACAACAAGTCAGCAATCCCTGTAACTCTTTTTCTCTTTCTGGATATTGGATATTGAAAGTAACGTATCATGGCCCCAGTCTTCCCATTCAGGTACACCATTTACGGTGCAGGCTTCAGCGCCGCCCATGATCCCAGCTTCCCCATCAGCGACAGACCAGACGGACGAATGGCGTTTCTCAATCCGGTTCAACGCATGAGGTTCAAGCTCGACCGCAAGAAAGTAGCCCAATTAAACGGACGTCCTTTTTTGGTCCAGTGGTTTCTGCCCATTACGAGATGGGGAAAGACGCTGAAGAATACCATCGAAGACGACTTGAGGAATCTTGTACATCCCGGGCGGCTCCTCCATCTCTCACTTTATTCGATATCCAGACGTACGATAGAGCATCCCCAAAGCGATATCGTAATCGTTGCGCAAGTTGCGACTGAGGAAGCCCGCCCGAACCATTCACAACTTCGCAGCCAGGTGTACCCCGAGATCCTAAGGCTTCTCTCGAGGTCAGTACTGGAATCTCGTCTTTTGCTGCTTTCTCCATCTGGGTGGATTTCATCCCAGCCTCTTCCATAATTGCTCAAGAAGCATCTGACTCTGGCCCCCTTTTCTTTAAGTCCCGAGGTCGGCAGGCCTAAAATCGGATGTTACGTGGAATACGCTGTCGACCCTCGTCGGTTGCTCAACCCGTTGGGAATTTTGCCCCCGCAGGAGCCCAGAAAAGATCTGACGCGGACTCCCGACCTTTCCAGTTCGGGCTCATCATCATCGAGTAATTCGAGCCCGTCGTGCTCCATCACCGCTCCTCTCGACTCTGATGGTCCGCAGCCTCCCGGGGATGAGGACGAAAAAGCAAAAGAGGAGGCGGATCTCTTTTCCGAGTTCTTCGACATTGATGCATATTATGGTACGAACAGCCCAGGAGACCCGAGTACCGAGAGCTAGGCGGGAAACAGCCATGGTGGACGGAAACTTTGCAACCTATACGAGTGTACCTTCATAGCTTATCCACAGCGATTGTTCTTCCAGCGGACGTATTTCTTTCTGGTACTATGGGAGGCTCCGGTCTGAACGACCGACCCGAGGAGATAGACGCATGGAAAGGGGATCAACCCAGTAAGACAAATATTGACATAGAGAAGAATTGATTGAGGTGTACTGGCTAGAAGGCAAAAGATACGAGACTTTAGGGTTATTGCCGAACCCCAAGCCTGTCCAACAGAGTTTCTCAAAACAAATACCAGTATGCGAATCTGGCCATCTGATTTATTTCCTTTTTTGATATGTTGTAGTTTGTGATATTCAACAACCACTTGGCGCCAGCATCTTACAATTATGGACAAGGAAAACCCTTACGCTGCCTTTTCGCTCTCGCCCCTCTTAACCATTATCATGTCATCATTCTTCTCTGTCCACCGTCTACAGCACGTACGTGACCGCAAGAGCTGCAGCACCGCCAACGATCGCAGCAAGATAGCTCTTCTGCGCCTGCCTGCTTCCGCCAGATGTAGTGAGGACCGAGGGAGGGGACGTGGCAAAGACGAGACCGGTCGTAGGTGCCGCGACTCCCTGGGCCTGGATATTGCTCGCGAGCACCATGGAAGTCATCAGGGAAGACGGCAGCGAGATGATCGCGCCGAGGCGGGGGATGGTGGTAGGGTCGGCGGGGGTGTCCAGTTGCGGCACTGCTGTCGGCCTCGAGCCCGTGCCGGCAGACTGAGAGCTAGCAGGTGTGGACGCAACGGTGGATGACGGCGCGGTTGCCACAGGGGGTCTGCTTTCCGCGCTGCCTCCCGCGTCGGAGCCCTTCTCGCTGCCGTTCTTGTTGCCCTTCTCCTTGTCGCCGCTGCCAGTGCTAGGGGTTGGCGTTGCGGGTGCGACACTGGAGCTGGGGGTAGTCACGGCAGAGGGCACCGGGGGAGAAGATTGAACTGGGTTGAGAGGCGGCTTGACGGCAGTAGCGGCGGGGAGTTCCGAGGGAGTGGTAGCGGGAGGAGCGGCAGCAGGAGGTGCCGGAGCGCTCGTATCGGCCGGGGGAGCAGAAGGGATAGGGACCGGGGCGACGGCAGCAGGCTCGGTGGCGGGAATGGCTGGAAGCCCGGTAGCGCTAGTGTTCGACGGGATGAGAACCGGGGGCAGGGAGGCGGAAGCCGCAGCCGTCTCGGCGGGAGTGCTGACGTTAGCCGGAGGAACAAGCACCGCAGGCAAGGTGGCAGCGGGCACAGTCGTGTTAGCCGGAACAGCAACCTTGGATTCGGCGGGAGTAGAAACGGCAGGGACAGTCGTGTTTCCAGGGACGAGAACGGCCGGCTGGGTGGCAGATGCCTCGGCGGGAGTGCTGGAGTTCTTTGGCGGAATTAGAACCTGGGGAAGGGAGGCGGTGGGTGTCGCAGATGGCTTGATGGAGACACGGCTCTGTTCAGTCGCGGCAGGTGTTGTTGCAGGTGCTGTCTGGTTGTTTTTGATGGGAGCAGGCGAAGGAGCAGCAGCGCCGCCTCCAGCGGGATCGATCGTCGAGAAGATGGGGGAAGGCGCTGCGTCGGTGCCGTTGCCGCCAGCCGCAGGTTGTCCTGCCGCGGCAGAAGTCGTCGGGACCGCAGTTGCTTCGGCGCCATCTCCGTTTCTGTTGCTTCCTCTGCCCTTTCCCTTGCCTTTGCGGCGACCGCCAGTCGCAGGAGTTGTTGCCGCGGGAGTGGTCTCTGCCGGCGCAGTAGCGTCGCCAGCAGCATTAGATTTGGCGGGAGCGGCAGGAATCGTACCGTTGGCAGGAGCAGCCTTCGTAGGTGCGGCTTCGACAACGAGTCCAGCAGGGGTGGCCTCGGGTGGCAAGTCACCAGAGTAAATCGTCTTCGGGGCGTTGGGCGGCTTGGTAAGAACCTGAACCTCGGCTCCGACGTAGGTCTGGACGATGGGCTGATCCGTAAGTTGGTTGATCTTGAACGACTGGGACATGACGGTAGTCTTGGCAGAATCGGTGATGACCATCATGAAGCTGTCAAAGGCCGCGATGGAGGCATCGGGTGCCCAGTACAACCGACCAACATTCTGGATTTGCTCTGTCACTCTTGTTAGTATACCACACCCCCAAGCCATCCTTCACGATGACCTTACCGCCGATCCTCTCCGCAACAACTGAACCATCCGTCACTCCGCTGGGTACCAGGTCGATGTTGATAGGTCCCTGCAAGCCTGCCGTGTCCCACTCAATCGCAAATTTCTCGCCAATGTTGAAATAATCTCCTGCCAGGGGCTTCGTGAACTGGGCGTCGGCGAAGGCAATGCTCGCGAGCAGAGCCAGAGACTTTGTGAAACGCATTTCGTCCAAATCTTTCGTTGATAGAAGAGTCGTGCTGGGGTCGGCAAATCGTCAAAAGGTCTTCGAGAAGAAGAATTACGGGAGTAGAAAAAAACGGCCAACTAGGGCACGGGTATCGAGGTCGAATCGAAAACGAACGTAACGAAGGGATTGCTTAAGAAAAGCTGGCCTGCAGACGGGTTGACTAGAGAATCGAAAACATTAACCAACGACCACCAAAAAAAGGATCGTCAGTTAGAAAGAAAGGCGCACACAAGTAATGAGTGAGAAGCGAACAAGAATGGAGAAACCAGAAGAAAGGGAGGCAAAAGAGCCGTCCCAAGAGCCGCAAAACTCGGGCTGGTGGCTTTGATATGGATCTCCTCGCGTGTAAGTCAACGTTACCACCCCAGACAGGGGAGACCTGTGGCAGGACCCAGTGCGAACCACCCCTGGACGTCATCTCAAGGCTTCAAGCTTAGGAGAGAAAAGGCTCGGCAGGGGTGCTGGGGGCGTCTCATCGGCCGACACACGCTACCGAGCCCTTCGGAGCGGCGTATGAGGTCGCACGATAGATTGGCTGACGGGGCCGGGGCCTGGACGCAATGGGTGGCATTGAGAAACATTTCTTCCCGAAGGGTAGGCCCAGCCACTCGGGGGCACCCAACGCGGTGACGGAGGATTGCGAAACAACCATCCATCGCAATGGGGTGGGCACTGGTGCGGGAGGGTGATCTCGCAAGAGGCGAAGCCTGGTTTCGCGATCCCGGCCTCTTGCATCGCTTGGCTGTATTCAAGCTCGGCGCGTCGTCACTAGCCGCTTGGTAGTGTGTGAGCCGCATTGCGCGGCTTCATGGTTGAGGTCTCTTAGACCGTACAGTGAAGCCCGAGACAGGCAAATACTTGGTTGCCCATAGCTCTCAAGCTCTCGTCTTAAACTTGCAATTAAGCTTGAGTTGATTTGTGTCGTTAGGCATGTAAATGTATAAGCAGCGCAGTTTCGTCCAATCCTCGTTTGATGGCCCGGCGGGATGGATGAACGCCTTGGTGCGTTGAGGAGGTTGAATGAAAGTCGGGATGACAGGGGCCAGTGCAAAGCGGCGGCTGAGACGACGTCCTTGAGCTGATCAAACTCAAACCTCCCGCCCGGAACCAAGCCGTAGAGTGGATCCACGTTAGTGAAATCCACAGAGCCCAGGCGATCTCACTAACAGCGCGCACTGACCAAGCCCCTGTCAACGCGAGCAAGTCGCTCTGGGGATGAACCGCCCTGTATCACCATTTTCTCCGTGTTTGATCTTGTTCTCGATGGTCACCTCGATGGCGCTGTTGGTCTCCAGCCATAGTCGCCCTTGGCGCAAATGACAGTCTAGACTCGGTCTTACGTAAAAGACGCTCGTGTGATTGAAAAGAGAATAAGCATTTTGACACCCGTGCTAAAGCCAGACGATAGATCAAAAGTCCAGGAGGGGAGTGGAACTTCATATACCTAGGGCTTCCAGCTCGATAAAGTTTAGGTAAAGAAATATGCTTGATCCATCATGGGTTGGCCATACCTTATGCCGCTGTTGTTCAGACGGAAAGATGTGTGTGGCGGTGGATCGACAGTCGTAAAGCAGCATCCTGGGAGCTCGCACCCCTGATCCATTGTGACTACCACTGTTTATCACTGTCGCTATTGACGCTGTCCTTGTCGATATCCTTCATGGCCATTGTTGTTGTTTGGGAAGTATTCGGCAGATAGTATTCAACATAAAGCAATTGCGCCTCACGAGTCCATTAGATGGCCTATCGCATACAGAAAACAGCGGCCTGAAAACGGACGCATCCGTGACATTCTCCAGTCGCCTACTTGATTGATACCATAAAGACCCAAAACCATCACCGCGAACCCAGCAGAGGCCAGCATGTTGTGGAATCCTCTCTCTGCCCAAGCAAAACATTGTCTTAAATTTACATCATAATCTACCACAGATACTTTTCTGCAAAAGCAGTTCCGAAGCATTCTCTGATTTCCCTCAATATCGTATTGGGCTAGACAAGCCTAGGAAAGCATCACTGAAGGCAGACCGTCCCCTAAGCGCCTTCAGATTGGTTTCCAGGCGTATTCGTGTTGGAGATGCCGTGGAAAGCATCACCGAAAGCAGAGTCATCTATTTCCGCGTTCATGTCCAAGCCATCACCCAGCGATGCTCCATAACTCGCCATTGCATCGCCGGCAGAATCGAGATCGCCGAGGGAGCTGAAGCCACCAGGGGTCTCTCCGGCAGGGGTACCGGCGGCAGAAGGAGCTTTGGGAGTCGGCTTCGGGGCATCACTCTCAGTCGCATTGGCGTTGGCCGCGGCGGCAGGGTCCGGCGATGCACCCCCCTTAGGTACCATCACCCAGTCCCCGCTGCCAGTCCCTTGATCGGGCGCGGTGGGTGCATCCTTTGGAGGTTCTGTGTTGCCCATTGTGATGTCCTCCCCGCCAGATGGCGCAGATTGAGCCTCCGACTCTTCAGGAATCGTCGGGGGCACAGGCGCCGGTGACGGCGCGTTTGCGTTGGCCGGAGTGCCGGCGTTCGAGTTGAGCGCTGAAAGGTGAGCCTGTGGTGTGGGGAAGTTGTTGACAGGAGTAGATGTGGCAGAGAAGCCAGTGTGCATTTGA